CATAAAATACATCATACTTATACTCGTTTTAGGTGAGGCGATATGGCACAAAAGTTTTGGGTGCAAAGAGCATATGCCAGAACACGAAACAATGGGTATAAATTGGGTATGAAAACATAAGAATTAGACGAAGTTTCAGGAAGCTCTCGAAACTTGGCACCAAAACTACACTCCTCCTGACAACACCGAAGAAATGGAAAAAGATTTAGTAAATGCAATACATATAGAAGCAAATTACGCCATCCCCAAGAGGAAAACAATTACCCAACAACATAAAGACCATTGGTATTACTGCAATAGGATCAAAGAGCTTCATAACAGACTAAATCGTGCACGAAAGAATTTCAGAAGAGATAGAACCGAAGCTAATCTAGGACTTCTTAGAGCTGTCCGAGATCATGTGCACGAAGAAACAGCAAAAATCAGAGAATGAAAATAGCTCGAGTGGTGTGCCAAGCTAAATCACCATTCATCCTTGGGCGACATCTGGTGGCAGATCAACAAGGCCAAAGGAAAATCGCCTCCTGCTTCGCCGCACCATGTTCATCCAGAGCAAGAAGCAGAAAGGCTAGCAAATCTATTTACTTCAAGAGCTAGTTCTCAGTCGTTCCTCAAGCAACTCTGACTCACCAACAAAAACTTCAAGCAGCAAGATGGAAAAAAATAGATGATGCTTTAGCCTTACCTGACGAACTAGACCAACCTTTCAATCTGAAAGAACTCAGAAGTGCTACAAAGAAAACTAAAAATACAGCTCCAGGCGAGGACAAAATCACTTACAACATGCTAGCCAAGCTAGGAGAAAAGAGTGAAGACGCCTTCTTGAATCTCATCAACAGAGTATGGGTGACAAGAACTCTACCACTCTCTTGGAACAGAGCAATTATAGTTCCCATTCCAAAACCTAAAGAAAAATCAGGGAAATCCAGGAAATCCAAGACCCATCTCATTAACAAGCTGTCTGGCCAAAACTGCAGAAAGAATGGTCCTTAATCGAACTGAATGTAAAGTCAATCCACTACACCAAAATATGTTTGCTTACAGAAAAGGTATAAGGGAGGTAAGGCACAGAATGCCTTACCTCCCTCCTGGATCAAATCAATGACAAACCTGGAATCCTTATTTTTCTAGACCTTGAAAAAGCCTTCGAGTTAGCCAGTGCTCCAGCTACACTGTGCTGCCTTGTGGATAAGGAAATCAAAGGACACGCTCTTGCTTTTGCCAAAGAAAGCCTGCTTAACCGAGAAGCTACAGTCAAATTCCAAGGAAAAACATCGACCTCAAAGAGGCTGGAAAATGGAACTCCACAGGGAGGAATACTAAGCCCCTTCCTCTTCAACTGTCTCGTGGAACAATTCATGAAGCTCAAGCTACCAAAAGCTAAACTTCTTAACTATGCAGACGACTTTGTGGTCATCATCAATGCAAGGAAGGAAATGCAAGGAATGCAAAGGTGCAAGGAACCATGCACAAAAATGCCTAGATATTATCAGCAAGGAAGCGGAACGCATAGCAGTGAAAATAAACAGCAGTAAAACAAAAGCAATGGCCGTTAAAAGGAGAACTCAAGACATCAGACTTGCAATACAAGGACAAGAAATTGAGTGGGTTACCTCTTTTCAATACCTAGGAGTCATAATAGACAACCAGTTGAAATTCACTCAAGAAATTGAATATCTTCGGCAACGCTGTAAAGCCAGAAACTCAGCTTTGCGCTCTCTGACAAGTCTTAGAGAGGGTGCATCTCTACCAGTACTCAAAATGTACTACGTTCAAGCAGTTAGGTCACTCATTGACTGTGCTGCTCCTGCTCTTACATCCCTCAGTGATAACCAATGGGAGAAACTGGAAGTGTCTCAAAATGATGCTCTGAGAACAATGCTGGGAGCACCTATATGGACGCGTAGAGAGAACCTTAGAATGGAAACCAATTTACCAGCATTAAAAAACAGGATGAAACAAAGGATGGCCACCATAACAGCAAAACTTATTGGAATAGCCGCCAGACTGTCAATCAAAGACAGTATACAGAGATCCTTTCAGAAAAGACTTCAATATAGAACAACCTCATGGATTGATAATCTGGTCAAGATTCTAGAGAAAGTGGACATGAAATGGACCATTAAAAACAAAGGGGAAGATAGACCATATCAACACTTTCGACAGCCTCCTCCATGGGAAGAATCGAATCTAAAGATAATCACTGAAAGATTAAGAAAAAATCAGCATGTGACCCGCAGAGGCTCAAAGAAGTAATAGAACAACAAATGGAAACCATCTCAAGACCTACAACGACTCACATCTTCACAGACGGATCAGTTGATCAAGAAAGAGGTTCTGCTGGGGCAGCAGTTTACACTACCAACCATGAAGTAAGCTTCATGGTTGGTAGTTGGCACCCACATGAAAAGTGGGTGCTCAACATTGCAAACAGAATTATATGCCCTGAAGGAGGCAATAATCTATACAATTAAGAATAATTTACATGATGTCATCATTCATACAGACTAAATCTTCGCTCCAGGCATTGTTGTCCAGTCAGCACAGATAATATACAATTCCTCACAGAAATTCAACATATAGGAAAAGAAGCCCATAATCTAGGGCTGTCAATCACCCTAAATTGGACACCAAGTCACATTGGCATAGATGGTAATGAAAAGGCAGACTCACTAGCAAGAATTGTCGCTGCTCTACCTGTTGTACAGGTTCAAATACCTCCAAGTTTCTCACATATTAAGAATCAAATTAAGAAGAAAATATTCTTAACTATCAAAAGTCGCCACAGAGCCAAAGTACCGGAAGGAAGATCCACTGCGATATGGTACGAACAAGCCATTGGTTACTCCTCTTTCAAGCCTGGCAAAAAGATATCCAGAGACATTGCAGTAGCCATAAAGACTCAGACTTGGTTACAAGTGCTGCTGAGAGGTAATAAACTCAATAGTTAAAGAGTGTCATATCTGTGAAACAGAAGCTGAGGCGCCACTATTGCACTACTTACTGGAATGTGAAACTATGAAAAGGCTTGAAAGCATTCAAAATGAAGCCATGACAATCATTCTTGGAGTTCCAAGGACTGCCAAAACGTCTATTCTACGAGAGGAGTTGTCCCTTCCCATTGTTAAAAGCAGAATTCAGGAGCTGAATGCTAAGCTTGCAATTAGGATAGCCAGAGATCCCCATTACAATGATATTGCTAAGAAAAAACTGAGCTCTGTGCTACTTTCAGGGGGGAAACAGAAGAAGCAAAAAATGGCATCACAGATCAGTCTGCTACCTTGAAGAGCTTCACCTGCTTGAGCAAGCCCGTGAGCTCCTGCCTGTAGAGAGGTTACCTCCCTGGGAGTATGACTCATGCAAGATCATCATTAATGAAATGGCAACGAAAAAATCCAACATGATACCACAAGAAATGAGGCAAAAGTATCTCGAGGAAATTTATAAAGAAGCCGGAGATGAACTAGATCAAATCTACACTGACGGGTCATTTAATCCTGTCAATGGCAGGGCTGGTGCAGCATACTCAAGGATAATACTTTCCAACGCAGAAATGAAGAAAAAGCACGTATTGAGAACTATGCCTCTTCAACGCAAGCAGAGCTAACTGCCATTGTTATGACATCTTAAACCTTATGGCGTTAAGGTTTTTTGAACGGATTTCAGTTCAAAATGGTGCAGTGATTTGCACCGATTCAAAAGCAGCACTGCAAAGCCTAAGTAAAAAATCGGGCAGAAAATCTTGCAATAAAAAGTACTGTGAGAGTACTTACCAATCATGGAAGAGTCATCAAGTTTCTGTGGATATGTTGGAATATGTGGGAATGAACGAGCAGATGTGCTGGCTGCTGAAGGCGCTGAAGGATATTGAATACTTCATACCCAAGACTCTACTACAAATTAGAGGTATTGTCAGATAACATCACCGTCACAAGGTAACTGAGGAAAAGGAGGATAGAAGCACAAACCAGAAAATCTATACGATGGTACAACATGGTTGCTGCTGGCAATCCCAATCATTATGGCCGAAGAGGAGGAGGACGAGGGAGAGAATCAGTAATAGCGAGAATCCGTCTTGGATACAAATATCCATGGAGATATGGAATGGAAACAACAGTTGGTCAGCGAAGTTGCAGAATCTGTGGTGAGAGTGACGGACACCGCCTTGACCACTATCTACGTGAATGTGAACACCTGAGACATTAGAAATATGTGTAGAATAATAAACCCCACATTGTTTGAGTTAGGAAAACACTATTTGTCAAATATTGATACTGTTCTTAAAAGATTTCCCCATTTTGCACCCGCAAGATAACGTAAGCTTTTAAGGGTTGATAGATGTTAATCTTCTTGTTTGAGGAGCTGTTCACTTGACAGTTAAGCAAGTCCCAGATGTGTCTGGGTACAAGTGACAGGATGAACAACCTAGCGGGTTTTCTTCCTATTGGGGAGTGTTGTACATGCTGCTATGGCGGTGTGTCCACTCACAGGATGAGTGGCGCTGCCCAATACTGTCACTATAGCGGTGTGTCCACTCACAGGATGAGTGGCGCTGCCCAATACTGTCACTATGGTGGTGTGTCCACTCACAGGATGAGTGGCGCTGCCCAATACTGTCACTATGGTGGTGTGTCCACTCACAGGATGAGTGGCGCTGCCCAATACTGTCACTATGGCGGTGTGTCCACTCACAGGATGAGTGGCGCTGCCCAATACTGTCACTATGGTGGTGTGTCCACTCACAGGATGAGTGGCGCTGCCCAATACTGTCACTATGGTGGTGTGTCCACTCACAGGATGAGTGGCGCTGCCCAATACTGTCACTATGGTGGTGTGTCCACTCACAGGATGAGTGGCGCTGCCCAATAAACTCGCCCCTCGGGGGCAAAATTTAAATTTAAAAAATGCACACAAAAATATTCATAAGACCAATTTGATTAATTTATTTATTCGTTATATATATTATAAAATACGCATCTTGTGTCAAGATGAGTCGTGTCTCAAAGATAAGCGAAGAGATTTTCATCACTTAAGGCTTGGAGCTTGAGCTGAGCCTTGCTGGGCTTGGTGTCGGGTGTGAAGTAAAGCAGGGGATCAGTGTCTTGAAACTTGTATAAGCTGCCTATAAGCTCCTTGATTTTCCGCTGTTAGGAAACAAATTGCATATAATTAAAATCTGTTCTTCAATTATGAATATCTTTCCAAATGATTTAAAAGATATTAGTACTCACTGGCATATTTACTCATTGTATACATTTTTAGTGAAAACTTAACATAAAAGTTAAATTTTCACGATAGTAAATTTTGTAATGAAACTCAAACAGTAACGCAAACCGAATTAAAAATTAATGTAATCTAACACAGTTGACCAGACCACACACTAGAAGGTGAAGGGACGACGACGTTTCGGTCCGTCCTGGACCGAACGTCGTCCCTTCACCTTCTAGTGTGTGGTCTGCACTTTACTTATACTTTATATATAACATACTTTAGCCACGTTATTGTGACTCATCGCCTGCCATCTAACACAGTCCTCCAAAGTAACATTACGAAAGTATTATATTATTAATTTTAAACTACTTGTGTTGACCTCTGTGCTGCCTATATATTGACCTCTGTGCTGCCTATATATTGACCTCTGTGCTGCCTATATATTGCTATTATATAACGTTACCAACCTGGCGGTGTTGTCTCCAAGCGAACCAGGTAGCGAGGCAGGAAGCCACAAAGAGAGCGGCCACAGACACACCGAGGACCAGCCTGATGTCCATGTCTGTTCACTTGCTCTGAGGTCACTTCTCAGGGATAGATTGCACACCGCGCGTTGGTGGCTGTTATAGGACTTTAGCGTACGCTACAGGTGAGGTTGAGGTGTCCATTTCCATCTTAGGAAATGGACTTCAGCTCCACCTCATTGAACATGAGGTTGTTCAATGAGAAGAACATATGAATGAGGGTAACTGCAGAAGGGCTTTTGGCCCATACGAGGCAGTTCCAATCTCATTCATATATATGTCTAACCTACGCTTGAAACCATCAAGGAAAACTATTTCTATTATGTTACCTGGTAATTGGTTCCACAAATCAACCACCCTCTTACCGAATAAGTCTTTACTAAGATCTTACCTAAATCTAAACTCATCTAATTTATACCCATAATTTATACCCATATTGGCTCAAGGTATTCAGGGTGCTATATTAAGTTGGATTAGGGCATGGCTATTCCAAAGAAAACAGAGAGTTAGTTTAAATGGGGTTAAGTCAGAGTGGGATAATGTTGTAAGTGGAGTGCCTCAGGGCTCTGTCCTGGGACTTCTGTTGTTTATAATATATATAAATGATTTAGATTCAGGTTTGAGTAGCAACATCTGCAAATTTGCAGATGATACAAAAATCGATAGGGAAATTAACACAGAAGAAGACTCACTATCACTTCATGATGATCTAAATAGGGTTTTGAAATGGTCAAAGGACTGGCAAATGCAGTTTAATGCTGATAAATGAGAAGTTCTGAGGCTAGGTAATGATGATAGAGTTTCAAGATACGAGCTAGATGGTGTTGAGATTGCGAAAGGGATCTGGGAGTTATGATTAGTAAGAACTTAAAACAAAAGGATCAATGCATGAATGTTTGTAATAAGGCGAATAGGGCACTGGGATTTATTAATCGAAGCGTTAGTAACAAGACACCTGGTGTGGTTCTTAAGCTATATCTTGCTCTGGTTAGGCCCCATTTAGATTATGCAGTTCAGTTTTGGTCGCCGTATTATAGAATGGATATAAATTCACTTGAACGTGTCCAACGTAGGATGACTAAGTTAATTCCCCAAATTAGAAATCTTTCATATGAAGAAAGATTAACAAAGCTTAAGTTGCATTCACTGGAAAGGCGAAGAGTTAGGGGTGACATGATAGAGGTTTACAAGTGGGTGAATGGACATAACAAAGGGGATATTAATAGGGTATTAAAAGTATCAACACAAGACAGAACACGAAACAATGGGTATAAATTGGATAAGTTTAGATTTAGGAAAGACTTGGGTAAATACTGGTTCAGTAACAGGGTTGTTGATTTGTGGAACCAATTGCCGCGTAACACTGTGGAGGTGGGGTCCCTCGATTGTTTCAAGCGCGGGTTGGACAAGTATATGAGTGGGATTGGGTGGTTATAAATAGAAGCTGCCTCGTATGGGCCAATAGGCCTTCTGCAGTTACCTTTGTTCTTAATATCCCCTTTGTTATGTCCATTCATCCACTTGTAAACCTCTATTATGTCACCCTTAACTCTTCGCCTTTCCAGTGAATGCAATTTAGAACATAAGAACATAAGAACAAAGGTAACTGCAGAAGGCCTATTGGCCCATACGAGGCAGCTCCTATCTATAACCACCCAATCCAACTCATATACATGTCCAACCCGCGCTTGAAACAATCGAGGGACCCCACCTCCACCACGTTACGCGGTAATTGGTTCCACATATCAACAACCCTGTTACCGAACCAGTATTTACCCAAGTCTTTCCTAAATCTAAACTTATCCAATTTATACCCATTGTTTCGTGTTCTGTCTTGTGTTGATACTTTTAATACCCTATTAATATCTCCTTTGTTATGTCCATTCACCCACTTGTAAACCTCTATCATGTCACCCCTAACTCTTCGCCTTTCCAATGAATGCAATTTAAGCTTTGTTAATCTTTCTTCATATGAAAGATTTCTAATTTGGGGAATTAACTTAGTCATCCTACACTGGACACGTTCAAGTGAATTTATATCCATTCTATAGTACGGCGACCAAAACTGAACTGCATAATCTAAATGGGGCCTAACCAGAGCAAGATATAGCTGAAAAACCATACCAGGAGTCTTGTTACTAACGCTTCGATTAATACTTCCCAGTGTCCTATTTGCCTTAGTACGAACATTCATGCATTGATCCTTTTGTTTTAAATTCTTACTTATCATAACTCCCAGATCCCTTTCGCAATTCGACTTCGTAATCTCAACACCATCTAGCGCGTGTCTTGTAACTCTATCATCATTACCTAGCCTCAAAACTTTACATTTATCAGCATTAAACTGCATTTGCCAATCCTTTGACCATTTCAAAACCCTATTTAGATCATCATGAAGTGATAGCGAGTCTTCTTCTGTGTTAATTTCCCTATCGATTTTTGTATCATCTGCAAATTTGCAGATGTTGCTACTCGAACCCGAATCTAAATCATTTATATATATAATAAACAACAGAAGTCCCAGGACAGAGCCCTGAGGTACTCCACTAACAACATTATCCCACTCTGACTTAACCCCATTTAAACTAACTCTCTGTTTTCTTTGGAATAGCCATGCCAAACTGCATCAAAGCTCCTCTTTGCATTCTTTAAACACTGGCACACTCTTCATCCGGCCCTGGGGATTTGTTTGGTTTGAGTTTTACTATTTGTTTAAGAACATCCTCCCTGGTAACTGTTAAACTCCTCAACCTGTCCTCGTCCCCACCCACATAGACTTGTTCGGCCGAAGGCATATTGTTACGTTCCTCTTTAGTAAATACAGATACAAAATATTTATTAAAAATACTACTCATCTCTTCATCACTGTTATTTGACCTGTCTCAGTTTTTAATGGACCTATCCTTTCCCTAGTCTTAGTACGATATAACTGAAAAATCCTTTAGGATTTGTCTTTGCTTGCCCTGCTATGCGAACTTCATAGTTTCTTTTTGCTTTCCTTATCTCTTTTTTAACATTTCTAACCAGTTGTACGTATTCCTGTTCTAAAGTGACCTCCCCACTTTTAATCCTTTTGTACCAAGCTCTCTTTTTACCTATAAGGTTCTTCAAATTCTTTGTTATCCACTTTGGGTCATTAGTATTCGATCTATTCAATTTGTATGGTATACTACGCTCCCGTGCTTTGTTTAGAATATTATTAAATAAGTTATATATTGAATCCACATCGAAATCCCCATTTACGTCACCTATCACTGGGTTCATGTCTCGCTCCAAGACCGGCCCCCACCCCATACCCAAGACTTTCCAATCAATTTGACCCAAAAAATTTCTTAGACTATTAAAATCAGCTTTTCGAAAATCTGGCACTTTAACAGAATTTTCTCCTACAGGTCTATTCCATTCTATGCTAAATCTGATTTCTTTGTGATCACTGTTCCCTAGCTCACTCCCTATTTCGATGTCATTAATTTGTGCTTCCCTGTTACTAGTTTAGCAGTTACCAGGGAGGATGTAATTAAACAATTAGAAAAACTAAAACCAAACAAATCCCCAGGGCCGGATGAAGTGTTTGCCAGGGTGCTTAAAGAATGCAAAGATGAGCTTTCCGAGCCACTGTCTACCATATTTAATAAATCAATAGAGTCAGGCAGAGTGCCAGAGTCATGGAAGGTAGCTAATGTGGTACCAATTTTTAAGAAAGGAGATAGATCACTTGCGTCAAACTATCGGCCAATTAGCCTAACGTCTATTGTGGGAAAGTTACTTGAATCAATAATTGCAAATACAATTCGTCTCCATCTTGAAAAACATAAATTAATAAATGAGTCGCAACATGGTTTTACAAATGGCCGTTCATGTTTAACAAATTTGCTAACTTTTTATTCCAGCATAGTTGAGGCAGTTGATAGTGGTAAGGATTGTGATGTGTACCTTGACTTTAGCAAAGCTTTTGATACAGTGCCACATGAAAGACTAATTAAAAAAATAGAAGCTCATGGTATTGGGGGTGCTTAGTGAAGGACCTGGTGACTCTAGTGGGAGCCCTGAGGACAGAGTTGGACTCTCTGCGGGAGGAGGTGCGTCAGCTGAAAGAACAACGAGAAGTAACGAAGGAGGAGACCAGTAGTAAAGGGACCTCGTCTTGGAGAGTTGTGAAAGACAGGGGCCTTAAGAAGACTTTGATAAAGCCGCCTTCAAACGCCATAGCAACTTCTAATTCATTTGACGTTTTGGAGGACGAGTGCTGTGGTGAGACTGCGGATCGCGCAAAATGGAAAGCAATGAAGAGCAAGGAAGCGCAGGCCCCTCAGAGAGTAAAGGAAGTACCTAAGCAAACCTTAGTTGTGGGAGATTCCCAGATAAGGTATTTGGATAGAACGTTTTGTGCTAGAGATAGGGGGAACAGG